GCCCAAGATCACACAGGAAGTTTGCAGCAGAATTCTAGCCCTGTCCCCCAATCTCCCCAGCCACCTCTTCCCAATCGCTCCCACCTTGTGAGCTGTGAGTGGGTCACCTGCAGAATGGGGCAGAGCTGGGGCTGCAAGAACATCCATGGACCCGGGCAATGGCCCTGGGTTCCAGACCGGGATTTTGAACTGCACAGCTTTCCGGCGTGTTCCGTGCCGGGGTTTAGTTCAGGCCCATCTTCTGATTGGACGCTGAATAACCTGATCCATGGACCGGTTTGTATGTGCAGCCCTGGGCCAGACAGACAGAGCGTTGTGAGACGTGGCCACAAGGGGGCGCTCTGCCTCCAGCAATGGGCCTGTGGCTGGTCACCAAAGTATTGGCGCTCCATAGGAGGGGCTCAGGGCCTGGGGGGAATTGAGACCCACGAGTGCAGCTCCACTGACGTCCTGCTTACACCAGGGTCTGAATTCGGCCCTGTGTGTCTCATGAGCTGCATCCGTCTGTCCCGCGAATGCAATCCTGACAATACAGGGCCATGGTGAAAACTCTGGAGCGAAGGGAGCAACAGGGAAAGGACAGAAGATGTTGACCACTTAGGAGCATGGGACGGATGCAGCCAACCTGCCACTGCCAGGAAGGGAGCTAGGAAGGAACCTGGAGCAGCCACTGTGACGAACTGGGACTGTTCTTATTGTTCTTAATGGAGAAAGGCTGGGAGAGGAGACACTGGGGAGAGTGAGAGTTTTCAGGAGCTGGCTGGTGTAATGGAGGGGAGCCCAGATGGGGCTCTGACCTCCCAGTGGGGCTGTGGTGCTCCTGGGACCTCAATATGGACCTAATGGGGGGGGCGTGTCCTGTTGTCTGTGCCTGCAAGACCTGTCTTGGGCCTGGTCCCCACTAAGTCCCCATTTCGGACTAAGGTACGCAAATTCAGCTATGTTAATAACGTAGCTGAATTCGAAGTACCTTAGTCCGAACTTACCGCGGTCCAGACGCGGCAGGAAGTCTCCCCCAGTCGATGCCGCGTACTCCTCTCGGCGAGCTGGAGTACCGGCGCCGACTGTGAGCACTTCCGGGATCGATCCGGGATCGATTTATCGCGTCTTAACCAGACGCGATAAATCGATCCCAGAACATCGATTGCGTGCCGCCGGACCCTCCGGTAAGTGAAGACAAGTCCTTGGACTGTGTTCCTCTCATCTAAATAAACCTTCTGCTTTACTGGCTGGCTGAGAGTCATGGTGAATCGCAGGAAGCCATATCCCCCCACACTCCGTGACAACTGGTGGCATCGGTGGGATCTACTGCACCCCGGGGACGGCGCTTCCTGCAGTAAGTGACTGGGGAGAAGTAAATGAAGGGGGATTGACGGGAACCAGGCGTGCTGAAGAGTCAGAGAGAGACGGTTTCAGGGGGCAATTAACCCCTGGGAGTGTGTGACCAGTGAGAAGGACTTTTGCAGTAACAGGGTCCCCCGGGGGATCGCAGCAAGCAGTCCCAAGGGCAGAGGAGTCTGCAGCTCGACCTTGGCAGAGAGGTGGTGACCTGAAGAAGGGCTGGCACACTCGGGGTCCCCCTGGAACAGTGGAAAGTGGAGAGCACAGGCCGGCGAGTGGCCAGCAGGAGGATGGATTTTAAACGCCTTAAGAGCGACCTGGTGGAGCTGTGCAGGCAGAGGGGGCGGCGCATTGGGAGGCTCACCAAAGAACAGCTCATTGCCCAGCTGGAGGAGAGAGATCGCTTGGATGAACCAAGCCCTGTCCCTGAGGGAAGCCGCCCGGCGGACACAGCGTGGGCCCTGGGGCCTGACCTGGCTGGGAGGGGTCAGACTGCGGCGGAGGACATCCCGAGACCCTGCCTACCTATGACCAGGGGAGGGGTTGGGGGAAGCCCAGCGAATACCGAGGGCGCCCTGACCCCGGCGGCCAGCAGGGGATCGTCCCAGCAGAGCTCCTCGTCCCTGGAACGGAGGTGGCTGGAATATGACAGGGAGCTGAAATGGGAAGAGCTCGAGTTAAGGAAGCAAAAACTGAAGCAGGAACGGGAAGAACGGGAAAAACAGCGTCAGCATGAGCTGGAGCTGGCCAGGCTGAGGAGCAGTGGGGCCCCAGCTGCGGTGAGTGAGGGGGGGACCCAAGACTGCAAAGAGCTTTGATAAGGGCTTCCTGGCCCAGTGTAAGGAGAGGGAGGACATGGATACCTTCCTGATGGCCTTTGAGAATGCCTGCGAGCTGCACAGGGTTGACCCTGCAGACAGGCTTCAGTTTCTCACCCCCTTACTGGACTCCACAGCAGTGGAGGTGTACAGCCGAATAAAAGGGGCGGAGACAGGGGACTACGAACTGTTCACAAAGGCCCTGCTATGCGAGTTTGGACTGACTCCTGAGATGTACCGGAAAAGATTCCGGAGTCCGCGCAAAACCCGTGAGGTCACATATCTACAACTGGCCAACTGGATGCATGGGTATGCCCGCATGTGGAAAGCTGGGGCCAAAGCTAAAGGGGACCTGCTTGACCTATTTGGACTGGAGCACCTGTATGAGCAGTGCCCATCCGACCTGAGGCGATGGTTGATGGACCAGAAGCCAGAGAACCCATAGCACGCAGGCCAGCTGGCCGACGAGTTTGTGGACAATCGGGCAGGGGATGACAGGGAGGAGTCCCAAAGGAACAGGCCCGCCACGATGCAGAAAGAGAGTGACCCTGGGATCTCCCAAAGGGGAAACATGGAGAACCCCCTCCCAAGGGGAACGCCCAGCATCAGGGCCAACCGACTGGCTCAAGGGGACCCACGGGACATGGGCTGCTATCACTGTAGCCAGAGAGGCCACATACGGACCCAGTGCCCCAGGCTCAGGGACAGACTGAGCAGACCGAACCCACAGAGGGTCAACTTGGTAGAGATCCAGCCGGACGAGGGGAAGATGGCCCAGGCAAGGGGGGCTGACAGCTTCCCAACTGCTCAAGATAGAGAAGGGCCCCAGGCCAGCTCCTCTTGGGGGCTGGATGCTCCAGACTCAAGGTTCTCCATTTACAGGGTGGACGTGGGGCTGTCCCTGTGGAGTGAGTGCCTTGTTCCCCTGAAGGTGGATGGGAAGAAGGTCAATGGATACTGGGACACGGGCGCTGAGGTGACGCTGGCCTGGCCTGAGGTGGTAGCTCCAGATCAGGTGATGCCCAACACCTATATAACTCTGACGGGGGTGGGCGGGACCCCATTCAAGGTGCCCGTGGCAAGGGTACACCTGAGGTGGGGGGCCAAGGAGGGCTCCAAGGAAGTGGGGGTGCACCACCATTTGCCCACTGAGGTGTTAATGGGGGGGATCTGGAGGACTGGCCAAGCAACTCCCAGGGTGCCCTGGTCATGACGCATAGCCAGAGCTGGCGAGGGGCAGTGCACCCTGACAACGGGGAGGGTACCTTGCCCGAGGCACAGGACCCTAACCTGCTGGGGAGGGAACGCCTAGGGGCATGGCTCAGGGAGGCTGCAGCTTCAGACCCAGCCAGCGAGAGAGAGCAGGTGCCCATCCCTATCCCAGCTGCTGAGTTCCAGGCAGAGTTGCAGAAAGATCCCTCCTTGCAGAAAATAAGGGACCTGGCCGACCTCAGTGTGGTACAGACCATGGGGAGAGGTGGCTGGAAAAGGTTCCTGTGGGAGAAGGGGTTCCTGTACCGAGAATGGGCTCCCCCAGGGAAAATGGAGTCAGGGGGGATCAGGAGGCAGCTGGTGGTACCCCGGAAGTATCGCCGCCAGCTGCTGTGCCGGGCCCACGACATTCCCCTCTCAGGGCACCAGGGAACCTGGCGTACCCAACAGAGGCTGCTATGAAACTTTTACTGGCCTGGGTTCTTTATTACTGTCCGACAGTACTGCCGATCCTGTCACCCCTGTCAGAGGTGGAGAAAGGACTGGGACAAGGGGAAAATGGATTTAGGACCCTTGCCCATCATAGAGGAGCCTTTCTAGAGGGTGGCCAGGGTCAAAAGGGGGGCTCTGTACCAAGAGAGCCCGAATCACAAACCTCCAGACTGGAATGCTGGGAGAAGACCCCAGCCCAGTTGGAACCCCAGGGGTATTGGGGTGGGAAACGGGCATGAACCACATAAACCTCCCCACATGCGAACTACAAGTGGCATCGAGCACCCCCGACCTAAGGGGGGGCATGAAACTGGGAGGGCCTGGTGTAATTCTCACCAAGGAATGGGAGCATCCATGGGAACGTGGGTAGGTTCGAACTTCCCCAGGTCACTGGCTGAAGTGACCCTCTCAGTTTGGTCTTGAAGTGGGGAGAGATGTGACGAACAAGGACTGTTCTTAATGTGTACTTTGAATGCTGAGTGGGGAGTTTTCCTGGGCTGGAGGGAGTTGGAGTTTCAGGAGCTGGCTGGTGTAATGGAGGGGAGCCCAGATGGGGCTCTGACCCCCCAACGGGGCTGTGGTGCCCCTGGGACACCAAGCTGGACCTAATTGGGGGGGGTCCTGTTGTCTGTGCCTGGAAGACCTGTCTTGGACTGTGTTCCTGTCGTCTAAATAAACCTTCTGCTTTACTGGCTGGCTGACATCGGTGAATCGCAGGAAGCCGGGGGTGCAGGGCCTTGTGTTCCCCCACACTCTGTGACAGCCGCCCGTCCCTGGGAACAGAGCCTCCGTTGGCAGAGGAATGGGCAGAGCAGCAGCTCATTAGACGGGGGCCGGGACCACCTGGCAGGGACGTCTATGGAGGGGAGTAGGGGGATGCCAGGCACCCACCATCCCTATAGGCCGGAGAGTGCTCAGCTTCCAGGCCAAGGGAGGGGAGCCGACCCTGATGCCTAAGACCCTCGTCCTGCGACTTACTGTCCGATCCCTTTGCTGAGGCGTCCGAGGGGTTGTCAGGCTGCAGAGAGACTTGGAGTTTCTGCACCGCTTCTTCAACCACTTGCAGCTTGCTCTGTGCCCGGAGATCTAGAAATCACATGTCTGCAGGTCAACGACCGAACTGAACTGTGGTGGAGACCAGCCAGGCCCGGGGAAGGAATATGCTCCGAGTGCGAGCCTGTTCTCTATGACATCTTTTATTTTAATCTGGGACAGCTTCCCTCCCGAGGAGAGACACAGGCAAAGCCAAGGCCCCATTCGCGGTTCTCTCTTGGTGTATGTCACAGAGCAGTGACCTGGCACGACTGGCTTCAGCTGCATGAGACGTGGCTCCCTCCTGCTCCCCGCCCCAGCCCGGCTGCCAGAGAGAGCGGCCAAATGTGCTGGGGGAGGAGGGAGGCGACGCGGGAGAAGGACAGAGCCCCCCCGCAGGTAACTCTGGCAGGGTGGGGAGTGCATCGTGGCCCTGGGCTCGGCGCAGGGGTCGCTGGGCAGAGGAGACACGTCGGGCAGTCAAGTGTCCTCCCCTTTAGATTGTGGCCCCCTAGCATGGGGAGGCACCAGTCG